GTTTTCCTGTCTATCAAACATCTATCAGCTTTTTATTGCCATCTTCTTTTTTTTTGTATTTTACCCACTAGTACCTACTTACTTTTTACGTACTTTTTCTTTAAAAGCTAGTAAGTACTAGTGGGTAACAGTGGGATACACACCTGTAACAGCTGCCTGTAATGTTCGGCTTTTGCATGACTTACTTGTGCTGTAAGCGCCGTAAAACTGTTACTAAAACAAAGGTACAACGTGTAGGTCGTGGCCTGTCCCCGGTGTGTCCACACGGCGCCAGTGGTGTAGTGCTGGGAGTGTCCGCCTCGCTCATGCATATGGGGGTGGGTCGAGTCTTGTTTTAGTCAGAGTTTTACGGCACTTGCAGTACAATGAGGTAATGTAAGTGCTGGAGATTAGAGGTGTTAAGGGAGTTATCACACACAAACAAGAAGAAAGAGAGATAAGGACGACAGGTCGTGTTTAGTAGTAAAGAAAGAGCAAACCACACGAGAGCCCCCGCCAACCACTCTCTGGGAGAAAGTCTGTAGATCTATTCTAGTTGTAAGCTCTCCGTCCGTCTGTCTATCTGTTGTGATGCTACCTCCCGCTCCGCCCAGACTGCCAGGTCTCAGTCGGTAGTGCCGTAAAATACCTACTCCAACAAACAAACAATGCTGCCAGGTCTGACCAAAACGGAGTCGATAGTGCCTTAAAACATCTAGATCTACTTCTACAAACAAAGCTGCCAGGTCTGACCAAAACTGAGTCGATAGTGCCGTAAAACACCTACTCCAACAAAACAAACAAACAAAGCTGACAGGCCGTCAGTGGCAGGGTAGACGCAGTCCGCTTCCTTAATTACGGGAAATTTGTGGAAAGGAGAGTAAAACATCCCAATATTTATTTCTCGAATGTCTCAGCACTGCCTTTTGTACTCCGGCGTCTGTGGTGTAGTGTTCAGCTCTCCGCCACCACGCTCATTGGTTTAGTAAGGTTTATCGACGCTTGCAACTGCATAAGGTCCTATGAGCGCCAAGGGGTAAAAGCCAACAGAGAATTCCAAACAATCATCACTCGCAGAAAAGACGTCGTGAGTTGGATTCCCTTGTGTGGAGACTTTGTACAGAATGTCTTTGTTTTTGTGCTTGGACGTTCTATCCCTCAATGTCCGGGTCAGCAGCGACAGACAAGAGCGACGCCCGTCTCCTAAATCATTTATTAAATGCCTAAATTGACTCGTTAAAACACATACATAGTTTTAAAAAAAAAAGATATCCCCCAACCCCCCCCCAAAACCCCCCCCCCCCACAAAACAAAAAACAACCCACCCGCAGCCCCCCCCCCCCCAAAAAAAAAGCAACAACCACCCCCCCCCCCCAAAAACAACAACAAAAAAACAAAAACCGTCAACAAAAAACAACAACGACGACAATAAATAAGTAAATAAATAAATAAATAAAAGCCGTAACTTCTTCCCGCCAGGCTGTGTCCCATCTGAGAATTTTACAGTATTACAGCCACTGTAAAGTCCCTGGTCCCACCATCGAAACTACACAGTGTATTTGATAGGGTGTTTCGTTTGTCCAAAACCCCACCCTTTAGAGTGGAAAGCTGAAATGATTTGATTTCAATTTTTGGTTTTCTATACCGTCACTGTCTGTTTACCCATCAGCAAGTCTTTGTACATAAATCTGTACGATGTAGAAGCTTCAGAAACCTGTGCAATGTAGAAGCTAGAAGATGTGTAAAATGTAGAAGCTAGAAGATGTGTAAAATGTAGAAGCTGGAAGATGTGTAAAATGTAGAAGCTAGAAGATGTGTAAAATGTAGATGCTGGAAGATGTGTAAAATGTAGAAGCTGGAAGATGTGTAAAATGTAGAAGCTAGATGTGTAAAATGTAGAAGCTAGAAGATATGTAAAATGTAGAAGCTAGAAGATGTGTAAAACGTAGAAGCTGGAAGATGTGTAAAATGTAGAAGCTAGCGGATAGAAGCTAGAAAATTAGTAAAATGTAAAAGCTAAAAGATTAGTAAAATGTATAATGTAGAAGATGCGCACAATGTAGAAGCTGGAAGATGTGTAAAATGTAGAAGCTAGAAAATGTGTACAAAGTAGAAGCTAGAGAATCTGACTTGTCTCATTAACTCTGTAGCTACCAGTAACCACGTGTGTCTCTGTATGTCTTGTATTGACCACGTGTGTCTCTCTATGTGTTTTGTATTAACCGCTTGTGTCTCACTGTGTGTCATAAGTGGGGACATTTCTCCACTTTCCTGCATGGAAACATTTCTCACGAACATGCAGTAAACAAAAATTGTTCGGAAATAAAGATTTGCCTTGGTCAACATGTCTGTATGGCGTGTTTAAAAATGAATTATTCGGAAATTAGAATTGAAGTGGAGCTACAACACAGAGAAACTTTGTTTTGTCATGAATGCACATCGCTAATTTGAACTATTGTTAGGACGTGAGGATAGATACGTTTGATACCATGCTGATTTGAACTATTGTTAGAATGTTAGGATAGACACGTTTGATAACATGCTGATTTGAACCTTTGTTAGGGCGTGAGGATAGACACGTTTGATACCATGCTGATTTGAACTATTGTTAGAATGTTTGGATAGACACGTTTGATAACATGCTGATTTGAACTTTTGTCACAGTTTAGGTTACTGTCCCTGGGCCAGTCAGGTTGGTCTCAGAGACTGTAAACTCATTAACTGACAACGGTTTCGGAGAATGCCATGTAAACTCATTCACTGACCCCGGTCTGAGAGAATTTAAACTCATTAACTGTGGGTGGTTCGCGGGTGCTGTAGTGTGGTTTGCTCTAGTGTGGTTTGCTCCTTCTTTCCTATCAAACACCCTTCGTCCTGATATCTCTCCTCTTCCTTTTTTTAAATATTTGTTACTCTCTTGCAACACCTCTAATCTTCGGCTTTTATATGACCTTATTGTGTTGCAAGTACCGTAAAAGTTTTACTAAAACTAAACCCATTAACCGACTCCGGTCTCAGAGAATGAAAACTCACCAACTGACTCAGGTCATACGCGAACGTGCTAGGTGTGCTTAATTATGTCAAGTGGGTTGTTTGATTACTTCATTAGTTTTGTGAAGTTCAAAATCATTTCCTACTTTGGTGATTGGCGCACTGTTTCTTGCCTATCCTGTTGGGTTTTTTTGTGCTTCTGTAATCTCCTATTTATACATATAACCGACTGTTTTTGCTGTCTTCTGGTATTTGAGGTGGGGCATCTATTATTTTTCAGGTGGAAATGTTGTACATAAGACACAAACATCTTCACATTTATTGGAATCTGCCTTTTCAGACTGAACTATAGTGTATCGCTTATGTTTTGTTTTTCACTTCTATTATGTTTTAAGTTACCGTCAACGATATGGGTTCACTGTTTAGTCTTGTTTTTTCCCCTTTATTCATCTGTTTGTTTTTACATTTCGCTTTTATTTTTTCCCCCTATGTTCCTCTCTTTACTTTTAAACTTTTATTTTATTTTTCTTTCTTGTGTTTTTTTAAAATATATTTGAGAATAGTTTGTATTATGACTTGTAATATTAGTGTGAATAATGCTCTTTCTGTTATTTTTAGTACCAGTTTTTTATGGACACCTTTCCTGATTTTTCGATGTTTGGTTTTTAAAAGAAAGTTATTGCGGCTTTTCTCTTCAACATTCCTTTGTTTGGGATTTTTTGGGGTCTTTTTATTTTGTTTGTTACGCCAAATGATTTAAATGTACCGTTTTGGGATGGTCTCTGAAGATTGTAAGTGTGTAGTATGCTGAGTGCAGAGCCTGTCGCTGCGTGTGTTGTTTGTACAGGTAGTGTTGCTTGTGCGGACGTTTGTTGACTGAATGACGGGATCAGATATTGTGGTGGTGGAGTTTTTGTATAATATACACTTCTCCATGTTTTTGTCGAAATGATGTAAATGGCGTATCTCTCTCTCTCTCTCTCTCTCTCTCTCTCTCTCTCTCTCT